TTTCCCTCCTTCTCCCTCCGCGCTTCCTAATAAAAAAAAAAAAAGTGAGAAACCTTTTGTATCCGGGGTCCTTTATCAAAAGATTTACGAGACGCCAAACTGTTAGGGCAGTAATTATAGCCCCCATAAATTTAATTGCCCTGCAGTGGCTCTGGGCCATGTGTCTTTGAAGCTTTTCTTCTAACCCAAATGCCCATCACCATTTTTTATTGCTCCTCGATTGTCCCCACTGTCGATAGGCTGTGAAATAATTTTTCTTGCCGTTTATGTATCTTACGTGAACCTGGTGTCAAGTTATTATATAATGATTATGTTCCATCGCTTCCCCCCCCCCCTTTCTTTCCCCTCCGCGTGTGTGTGTGTGCCTGCGTGTGCACGTTTCAGTCAATCCCAATTACAACGGAGGGGAGCCCAAGAGGTCTCGCACTGCCTACACCAGACAGCAGGTCCTGGAGCTGGAGAAGGAGTTCCACTTCAACCGCTACCTGACCAGGAGGCGACGCATCGAGATCGCGCACACCCTCTGCCTCTCCGAGCGCCAGGTCAAGATCTGGTTTCAGAACAGGCGCATGAAGTGGAAGAAAGACCATAAACTGCCTAACACAAAGATGCGCTCCTCAAACCAGTCCACACTGAGCCAGCAGTCCAAAGCACAGACACAGGGCCACCCCCATCCGCTCGATGGGGCTACACCCAACTCAGCCGCGCTATAAATACGGTTATTATTATTTTTTTTAATATATATATATATTTACCTATCTATTGGGGTTTTCCAGCTGCCCCGTGGTGGAGGCCGGCCGTTTGGACCAAACAACTGTGTAAAACAAAACAGGAGCAGGAAAGGAAGACGAGACGTGCCCAAGAACGGGCACATGTTTAAACCAAAACCCGGACGATTGTCTACATTGTATATAGATAATGGTTCCATGCCCATCATTTTTTTTCTATTTATGGAAAGGCTCTCTTGCCCTCTGTGTAAGAGAGGGCTGGATGCTGTCACGGACGAATTCTCTGTACCTAAGACGGACTCTTTTTTCTTTCTTTTTTTTTTTTTTTTAGAGAACACTTTAAAAATAAAAGACGGTTAAAACAAAGCAAAGACCTCGTGAGACACTTGTGTAAGGCATTGACTTGAATAGCGCTGTTCCGTGGCGTGTTCGTGAACTCCCGTGTGTGTGTGTGTGTGTGTGTGTGAGGGTGCACACGCACGTATGCACACACACCAACACGGGAGAGAGAACGAACACGTCCACGGGAGGTTAAAGACTTACGAAAAATGTCCACTTACGCTGTCTAAAGGAAAATGTTTTATGTATCAAAGGTAACTTAACTGGTTTTAAGTGTAGCCCCCGCAGTAGCTGTGATCTATTAGTTTTTCTCCACATTCCCCATTGCATTTATTTAAAGAAATATTGCTATAAAGGCTGTTGCTGTCTTCATATTTGGCACCGTCTAAACCGTTTGGGTCCATGTACAATTTGTGGCTTTTTGGTGTAATGTATAACAGTGCCAAATGCTGGTAATAAAGATTATTCTGTACAAAAGAATTAAACGCTTGAAACACAAGTCCACTCAGTGCTGTTTCATCCACCTTGTGCTTGGCTGGTGTTGGCACCGGCAATGGAAAACAACGGTTTAACGTATCGCTTTAACTTGGATTCATCTTGTCAATAAGGTAATGGTTGCTTTAAATGTAGCGAAAAACGTCCTGACTCCCAGTTGCCTGGCTGGGAAAAAGAGCGCTGTAGGACGAGGAAAGGTCTTGGGGCGTTGTATAGGTGAGTGGTGTTCTCTTTAGCGGACTTAGGGCAGAATTAGTCCGGCTCTCCATCGCTGTCCGTACGACTATTTTCAGCTGCATTAGAGAGAAATTGTGCTTCTACTGGGAGCCAATAAGCTCCCATGACGGGTTTTGCTGGAGGAGAAGTCACACATGCTCCCCATGATAACACTTTAGATCTTTAGCCAGTCGTGATTTATTCGTTCATTTTCGCCCGATTATGATTTCTCAATTGGCTAGCACTTTCGAAGGGGGATGACATGGGCGGTAACCTAAAGTTTCCCTAAGCTGCCTTTTCTGTTTCTGTTTCTGTTTCCTTTTATTTTCTTTTTAAGACTATTTCGAAATGTGTTGAGGAACTTTCAGCAGAAACATGAATCTGGGTACAACTCGAGAGGTTTATTTGACAGAGATTGTTGAAACGACTGTGGCAGAATGGGGTTCAAGTGGTTCCAGCTCAGGCTGCGCATCTCGCTGCTTCCAGGCAGCTAACGAGTGCAGGCAAAGCGGAGCTGCTAATGGGGAGCCTTGCTCAGGGCTTCCACAACAGAGAGTAGCACCGAGCCGGGTAGGAAAAGGCTTGGAAGGGAGCTCAAGTGCTAGTAAATCTTCCAGGGAAGGCCTGAAGGCCAAGACTTATTTACTTACCCAGATGCATCCGAGAGGGATTTTTGGAATCAGTGCTTCTCTTCGCATGAGTGAGGCCGCCAGGACTGCGTGCATCATCACCCCCTGGGTGAGATAGCACCAGGCCCCAACGATATTGCCAGCGTCCCTGCCAGGCCAAGGAACACGGATCGTCCCGCAGAAAAATGTAGCGCGCCACCGGCAGAGCACGTTCAGCATCAGAGAGGTGTCGGTTGTAAATACCCTCAGCAAACACTGCTGTCTCCAAACCTGACTGAGCAGCAGGCCTGAAAAGCGCGCTTCCATTCACATATTGCTGTTTACTAAACCATAAATTGCCAGCTGCCTCCTTATAAAGGGAGAAAACTATAGCTCTAAGTGAGGTAACCACTATCCGCAAACGTGTAACTCTTGTTTTGTTTATTGCTTGAGAATCTCTCGATATATTTAAAGCCAAAATTAGCACAATGGAGCAAAATTCCAGCTGAAACGTATTAGCTGGCGATGCAGGGTTTCTTTAGTGTGCAGCCTGTGCGTATAAACCTGGTTTGCTCCCATTGTAAAGAGAAATGGAATCACGCTGCAAATAGCAATTTTAGCGAGAATCATTAATCACCTCCTACAATAAATACTTCTTTGTAATTCAACAGCGGTTCTGAAAGGCATTCTCTTGGAAAAGTCTGTGAAGACGCAAAGGATTTTCCTGGAAAAAAAAAAAAAAAAGTGGTCATGTGTAAAAGCACAGCATCTTGGCTGTCTGCTAAAAAAATGTACACTGTCTTGCTGGAGATTGAACGGCGGACTGCAAAATACCCCATGGCAGATTATCGTCGTTTAAGGTAAATTTTCCGTTTTCCCCCCCTTCCCCCTCTGCCTGTGCTGGGAGCGGGACGCTGCTCCCGGGCTGGGAGCCCTCTGCTCCCCGTTCGATACCGCCCGTCTTTACAATAACTTCGAAAATTACATCGTCCAGTTTAAATTCTCGCATTGTGCTCCCTTTGCTAGGGCAACCGGGAGTTCACCGAGAGGACAAATTTTCTATCCCATTAATTGTTTTTTTTAGAGGAGCAGACTGACCCTTCAAACCCTTGACCTTTAAAGACAGTATTCTTTTTAATCCGGCACTTGGACCTAAATGTCTCTTTCCCCCCCTCCCTCTCTCCCGCTCTCCCGGTGTCTCTCACACACGGATTTATCTGCTCTGGCCACAAAGGCGAGCGCGGCCCGAAACGCTGGAAGTGGAGGTTTGTCAATATTTCAAAGAAAGACCAAATCACCTCGGAGTCAATTTGCTGGCCGCAGGGAACGCCACGCCGTTAACCCCGGTACCCACCTCCCCTCCACCCACCAAGAAAAAGGCTCCTTTTCCAAGATCCCCCTCCCCGTTTCTCCTCCTGCAAGCTCTTGCTATACCTGGTGTTTTATTACGCGGGGAACTCAGCTGTGACAAGCGCCTTGTGCTATTTAATAACTAGAACCACCCTGCATTGGAGGATTATCCAGTGCTGGGACTTTTCTTTCTTTCTTTCTTCCTTTTTTTTTCTTCAGGGTGCTTGCCGTCCCGTGGCCTTCTTGCCCAGTGTTTGTAAACGAGGAAGGGGTGGGGGGAGCCCTCACACGGGCAGAGATCTTGACAGGTTTGCC